AGTTTTTTTTTTTAAATTACTGATTTGGCGCTATTCGATGGCGCTCAGCAAGTTTCTAATTAAAATCATGTGTTTGCTTTCGCTAATCTAAAAGTTAGTCAACATATTATGGCTACTTATTCGACTTATCGTCACCATTTATCCCCCTATATTATGTCTTTCTAGCCATATAACGCACCTGCTTAAAACGAACCAGCGTAGCTTTCACGGCGTTTTTAAAACAAATCTGTAAAGTCTAAAAATACCCTGTAAAATACAAACTGTAATTTGAAACAGGATTTTAGCCGTGTTTGTGTCCCTTTCTTGTCCTCGTCTTTTGCGCTGAATTCGCTGTCATGGATTACCAACTAGCCCAATTATTAACCCTAATCTTGTTTACCCACGTGACATGACACAGTTACGTTGTCACTTTATACAAGCTGCTTTGCAGAGGGCAAATTAGTCGTCTTTCATAAAAAATTAGAGACCAGTAATACTCTTTGAACATCCGAAATATTGAAACTCTTGTTGCTTCGTGTATCAGAATAGTGCACAAGGAATGATTCGTAAATAAGACATGATGAGTTACAAAAATTAGAATGAGTATGTCAGAGATTAGCTGGCATAACGAAACGGAACTACAAAATTAGGAAATATAAAATAATATTAAAACAAGTTCTGAAAAAAAAAAACCGAATGCGCGGAATGTGTTATCTGGAAAATATATGAATGATGTTTGACCTTGCACTGTTGATTATCGACCAAAAATCCAAACTCGCTGCACTGTCACTATGGGCCAATTTATTAAAAGAAATTATTTATAACAGCACTTGTGTATGCATTCAATGCCAAATATAAGAAATATGGTTATGGAGCAGCGAGCATTATTACAGCGTGTTCATCGACCAAGTCAAAGATGTTTGTAAGTTTCAGTTATACAATGTCAGTGCAATTACTAGCTTCACTCGTAAGTTAGATTGGTCAGTTGTTTTACCACATGAGCCTTTAAATATAGCATGGCTTTACAATCTGGAATGTTTTGTGTCGTGTCTTTTTTTATCTATGTGTAACCCTGAAATGTAAAATGCTCAAAGATGCATCCTGTTAAGATGAAAATAAGTAACACTTTTAAAGTCTAAAAGTGCACTTTTCTTTTTTAAATGCATCAACTCCTTACGGAAGCAGGATTTGTTTATTTGTGATTTTTTTGTTGTTTTGGTAACACCTTATAATAATTGTAATACAGGCGTGGTGTTTTTGTTTTTATGAACACAAACAAAGTAGTACATTTGAAGTACCTGCTCATGGGGTCTTATGTGTTTAGAATTAGAGCAAAGACTGAAATAGTCTACAGCTTTAGAGCATTATTCAATTGATTAGTCAGTTAAAAGCCAGAATTATTTGGTTTGAGTAAATTTGAAAGGTTGCTTTTAGTTGTTCATTTCGAATAAACATTGCATCTACAAAAGCTGCACCAAACACAATGTTTATTGTTTAACAGCTATGTAGAACAATTTTTGATAGCTTGACAGCACTCCTACTCTATCTCAGTTGAACAGTTGTTATTACATACCAGCATTAGGTTGGTTGTTTTATTGTTATATCAAAGCGTTTGACGTAGTACCAAAGCACACAAAGATTTATTTTCAATTGGCCCACAGTGGGGAGCGTAAGTTAGTGGCCCCTCACCCTCCACAACAGTTCTGTAAAGCAATACGAGTGAGTCGAAACAGACCACAAAACATGTGCTCCAATCCGATAGAAAGAAGCAGCATACTACCGAGAACCAAAGCAGGAGTAGGCTGCATATTTATTTCAGCGCGCAAGACTCTCATAACAATTGGTCTCACATTAAAACCAACAAAATGACCCAGCGCATTGGTCTCAATGGATTTGTTAACGGCAAGAGAGATATCACCAAAATCGAAAATAAGGTATTGCACCTACCTTTATCGTAGGGACTGCCAAGAATATGGATATTGCCCATAAGCATTCATTTCAAGCAAAGGAAACGTGCTAATGGGGTGCGCTTGAGCAACTACATGATTGCAGAAAGGAGAACACATATCATTTCAATTCAGATAACAAAAAGAACCTTGAGCGAAGATATCGTGCATGCAGTTTGGATGCGACCATTTTTAAAGGCATACAAAATGTAAACTACGACAAGGTGCGAACAATCAAGCGCCATGTTTTGTGAGCATTAAACTGAAAACCAGACCAGAAAGTACAATAAACTCATGCTCCAACCTGACTTCACTGTCTGGAATGACTGTTTGGTCTGTTCCTGTAGCAATACCTTAGGAAGCATTGCTTGCAAGTTTGTTGAGGCCATGGTGTTGCCAACTGGTAGACAGACTGTTGGTGGCCAGGCAAAATGAGGTTAGATCATTCAATAAAGGTGCCCATATCTTTATCATGTTATAAATGAATGCTGTTAACATCTAGGTGAGCAGAGGCAGTAGTTTGAACACGAATGTTATATTGTGACTCGCATTGCGGTTGATCATTTGCTCATTTTAAAAGTTTATGTGGTTATTCTATTTTGTTCTATTTGCTGTGGTTCGTAGAACAGTGACAGCTGAGATGTGAAGATAATGTATTTTAGTTAATTTTATTTTTGTGCAAATTTATGCCCTCTTGTAATGGCCCTTCAAAATACATAACAATATCGATCAAAATTATGATAGAAATAAAATATAGACGAGATAAAGAAAATAACAGGTGCTTCACAAGAAGCTTTTCCTGTAAATTGTATTTATGGTTATTGTATATATTGAATAACGCCAATAAATATTCACCTAATAAAATTTTGACAGATGGGTGTAAACATGAAAAGAAAAAAAAATTCAATAGACTGTTCGGCAGCGATTTTGATTTATTTGTAATATATTCAACGTAATACTAAAGTGTCAATAGACTGTTCGGCAGCGATTTTGATCTATTTGTAATATATTCAACGTAATACTAAAGTGTCAATAGAGAGCTTTAGTATTGCGTATAGGATCAAACGCAAGTGCAGTACATTAGCCTTAGCGTTGCGTGCTCCAGGCTGCGCATGCGCGTCGTCGCCATTCACCAATCCAAGACGCAGTTTGCGGCTCCCCGCAAGCTCAGTGCGGAACACGCAAGGCTAACGCTAACGCACAGTGCTTGCGTTTGCTCACATACGCAGTACTAAAACGAATGAATAATCAGACACCGCCCTGCCAACAATTCCGTGTTGAAAGCATGCACTCAAAAACGCTAAATCACCCAAACGTGCTTTTCTTCCATTATAGACTTCTGCACGTTGATTTGATTCTGCGCGCATTTGTTCTATTTTTACATAAAGGACAATTTTATATTTCGTGAAATAAACATCGATTTATTACACGAGATAGGGACAGGAATACCGAAAACCAGAGCCTAGTTATGAGTCGCGTTCACATACACTCCACCGATAACAGCTGTTAAGATTTAATACGTTATTTTTGAGTGTGATATGCTATATATTTTAGTTGTTAACAGCGCATTAAGAGTAGCCTACGAAAGGGCTTAGTCGAAAGCGGCATGTTATTACAGAAATCATGTAGCTCTTCTATGGCCATTACGATTATTGGGCAAAGTTGGCAGAAATGCGAAATTTTATTGGCAAAATGATTTTTTTCAATATTATGTATCTGTAAATATTTTTGGTAAGCACTAATATGAAAAAAAAAAAGTTGGAATTGTTGATTGCTGCGCATGCAAGTAGCTCGAAAAGCGTCGTTTTCAAGATAAAAATTATAAATATTGCACAATAAACGAGACAGAAGCATCACGTCTCTGGAGGGAGGTCGGAGGATAGGGTCATATATTAAGAAAAAAAGATTGATTTTGCGAATGAAGCAAAACGTAGACAACCGAAATTTAATCTGAAAGGCCTCATATTTAACGGGTGAGCTCATCGCACCAAACTTTGTATAGGAGCAAAGTAAATCGAAACGACCAGAAGCGCACGTTAGTACACACAGAACGTCAGCATGTGGTAAACTAGCATGGCAATGTTTAAGAAGCCAATTAATAACAAGCTAGTTGTGTTACGTTTTAGAATACAACCTTACCTGAGAAATGTAGCAGATGGCATCATCTGCCTAGCGTTGCGTTTTATAAGAAACAAAATATGAGACACTTCACAGTTAATTTTTTTCTTACTATGTGACGAATAAACTTGGAACATGATAAGAGTTAGACAGCCGCGTCTTCGCTGTGCATTTATCAGGCTCGGCGGACATTAAATAAAAGAATTACCGACACGGTAAGTTGGCTTCTCAATTCAATCTTGTTAATTAATGTTCTGATTTTTGTTTTATGGGTCATGCTGTAATCGGAACAGTTTCTAAAACAAGATAGACCAATTAAGAAAAAAAAACACGAAAATTAAAGGGGGCCTTTGGGGTTCAGATATGTATCAATCAGTTTTCGCTTTTTTTTTCTCCACATTTCACAATTTAGCGCAAAAAGAGCACCCGTCACCATTCCCACAATATCACGTAAAAAAAGTAAGGTAATCGTTTCAGTCACGTCGTCACTATCTCGCCAGTGTGTTGTCGGCGCATCCACCAAGGACGCGCTGAAAAGACAGTGTCGACGGAAGCAACTACGTCACTCTTCCAAGCGTCATTGTGGACAGGTTTTTTCGGCGCACTGTTTGGGCGCCATTCTGAAATCGGGTGAAGATTGCAAAAACTTATCGAATAATATCTAAAAAAAGCATTGATTTTCGCGAAATTTTTTAATAGGTTTAGCCTAATAGTAATTGCCGTCAATACCGCAATTGCAACATGATCCATAAAACCAATAATTAAAATGTTGATGAACAGATTTTAGTTCATAGCCAATTTACCGCGATCGTTATTCCCTTATGCAATGTCCGACGAGTCTGATAAATTTATGGTGAAGACGGCACTCATCTAGCTTTCACCCCCTTAAAAAAATGTTCGAACTAAAATGAAACACCTTGTATCCACTTTTATCTGCAAAGGTTGGGCTATACGCACCAAGCACAGTGGCCACCTCATGAATCATAGGCAGTCCTTCCACGATGGAATCTTTGAGGTGTTTTCCTGAAGGTAGCTCAGTAGCTTGTAAGTCACTCGTCTCATCGCCTGGTGTCACTTGTGACACCTGAAATGCCCAAATAAAAATATTCGTAACATTAAGACATTATAAAAATAATAAAATATTTCTTTAACATTTCCTGCAAGGTGGTTTTCACATTAAAATATTATATGTTAACAAGTTTCATGGCACCAATAGACCTTAAAACACCAAAAACCAGCAGTAGGAAATCAAGTGTGCGAAAAAGCAACCTAAAATCGCACGGACCTTGGAACATGTTAAACACGTCTCACGCTATTTTGAGAAACGAGGATACTAACTAAGCATTGCGCGTAAATCACAAATATGATTTAGTTAAAAGCATATTCATGATTGCCGTACGGTAAATGCACACGTGTAGATCGTGGCAAAAAAAAAAAAATTAAAAAAAACGAAGCAAAAAAACATTGCCGATTCTTTCCCCCGATATTTGTGTTATTTTTGGCGGTTTTTTTTTCATCAGACGCGTTCCAGCCTTTACTCGTGGCTCAACAGCTTGAAAGCAGGTCTCTTGTCCTTAATGCACTGTAAAGTCTGGAAATAGCGCAGTGCAACTTGATTTGAACCAAAATTCATATGTCACTCGATACGTTTAGTGCATATAGGAGTGAACATGCCGAATTTCCACATGATACTATGAGTCATGTTTGTGCTGAAAACATCCATATGAATGTTTATCAGTGCTCAATACCAGACCTCGGCCTGGCGGTGTCCCCCTGGGGCGCTTCTGTGCTGAAGCTTTGAATAAACTGTGGCGCACTCATTTTGGGTAGTACAAGCTCACCTGATTGGGCCTTGCACTACTTGTGGCACCTTCGCTTAGCTTTTTTCTTTTTGTGAAGGGCTAAAGAACGAAAAAACACCTTTCGACGTCCGAAATCGGCTAAATTGAACGCCGTAAAACTATCAAAAGTGTCAGATTCATGCCTCCACCGCTAGGGTACGCGCCTCTTATCTCTGGGTGTTGACGTCAAAATATCAAGCGTCCTGACGCTTTTTAATGCGTTAGCATTAGAACGCTCGTTGTGACGAAAACCCGGGGGTGTCTTTCTTTTGTCAACGCCGGGGAGAGAAGGAGGGGGTGAGGGTGACACGTGGGACGCTCCCATTGGTCCAAAGCGCTGACGTCAGCACGCGTCAACCTCTCTCTCTCCCCCCGGCGCTTACAAACTAACAGAGACCACCGGCTTTTCGTCAAAACGAGCCCTTTCGTTTTCATCAATGTCACGCGCGCCGGACAACACCTTCTAGATAACAAAGCCGCAGTGCTGAATAAGATGGCGTAATCAGAGAACGCCAACGCTGGACACAGATTGGAAACGAGTGCTGCGTCAGCGCTCGGTTTTGAGTCAAGTGTGCGCCGAACGTTGACGCAATCGTCGTGTCCAATCTGTGTCCAGCGTTGGCCTCCTCTGATGACGCCATCTCATTCAGCAATACGGCTTTGGTATCTAGGAGGTGTTGCGCTGTGGCGCCGTGGATTGCGGGCATGCTCAGTTGCCGCTCTGCCGTCGCTGGTTGTTCTTCGCTTTGGGTTTCCGTAGTAGCGGTGCGTGGGCTGTGATGTGTGTGGTGTGTAGTTAAAACAATGGATGCGGTTCCCTCCACGAGCGATATAGATGCGGTTCTTTGCACGAGTAGTATGGATGTGGTTCTTTCCACGAGTGATATGGATGACCGTATCCAAGGGCTTCGACGTACTCTGACAGGGGAGAAAAAAAAGACAGGAAAATCCATTGGTGTAATCTTAGGGAATCCGTTAGCATGACCCTTTGGAAATGCCACACACGTCCCCTTTGGGAAACGCTAACGCTGAACCCGTAACGAGGCCAAAAAGAGGCAGCAAAAAATAGAGGATGTAAAAGAGAAAAGTGAAGGGATCAGGGTCAGCGGTTCCCAAAGGGGGATGTGTGTTGCGTTTTGAAGGATCATGCCAACGAATTCCCTAAGAATCCACCAATGGGTCTTCCTGTATTTTCTCTCTCTTTCCTTTGGAATGCATTAAACGGCGTCTCTTGGCTCACGCTCTTAATTCACACTGGCGTTGGAATCGCAACGGCGAGGAGGGTCTGGTTGTTTTCATCATCAAATGCGCGAGAAATTGTATTGTATATTTCAGCAATCACTTTCGCAACCACTTCGCGAACGCGGTTCAACCGCCAGTGTGAATACGACGTTAGACTCTTAGCATTGACCTGTGCTTCGACGGCGTTCGAATTTTTGTTGTTTCTTTGTAGTTTCCTCATGATCGCGTTCTGCACCGGAACTCAGGCGCCCTTCTACATGTGCGAGCGTTTGAGACACTCAAATTTGTACTACCCAAAACAAGTCCTAACAAGTCTCTTTTCGCAGCGCCCCCTGGGGAACGCAGGAGGCCTATTCCCTCCAGATGGGCCACCTTGTAATGTTAGCGATAGTTCGAACGTAGGCTGCCAGTCTAGTCGGATAGCTCTGTGCGAGATAGGATTTCGCACGGAGATCGTCTTACGCGCTGTAGTCGACAACAGATGTTGGGGGAAATGAATTTGCATTAAAAATAAAGTACATATATTATAGTCGGTGACTGGCTCAGACTGCAGTAGAAGCTTCGCCTCCAGCATGCGCTTGTCTTCTACAGGACTTCGGCTGCGCGTGCGACGAAATTTTTCCAAAGGCAGAGGGCTCGCGCTGGAGGCGGAGCATATTCTAAACGTGTCACCTACTATAATTGTATTAGTTTTTACTATCACATTTGCTAGAACGTTATAGTACGTATACAGGGGTGTTTCATAGTCCACTGAGAATAATTAAAAACAAAATGAGCGCCTATATGAAGAAATTATTCCATTGGAATAACATTATCGACCACGGCTGTTGTCAGATTACGAGTGTAGAGTGAAAATTAGCGTTCTAGAAGTCACTAGTTATCTTGTGAAATATTGGCCTTAGCTGGCACATTCCGATACGAGATTTCTTGCCCGTTGTCCAAGCTGCGTTTGAAGTTTCGTGTTTGTTCCTTGGTCCCTCTTTCCTTCACTCCTGAGTGTTCGATGTCGATCTTAAACCAGCTCGCCGGCACTGTCGCTTTAGTTCTGTTATGTCATGACTGATGTTAGAATTACTACATCGGAATTATGCTCCGCGCTATTTTTTGGCAAATTTAATCCTTAAAAAAAAAAACTAAAATACCGAAACTAATAAAAAAAAAGCGACGAAAGTCCTATTTAGAAGTGACGTCTACTTCCGTCGCTGACCCTTTAACAAATCAATATGAACCAATCTGGCACATTATCTAAGGGTCACGTGGTAGTAGAAAAGGTGTGCTACACTCCTATCTCTCCTCAGCGCTTAGCTTTCGGCGCTTTTTCATCCCTTAGATTCGGTGTATAGTACTCTTGACTGTCTAAAGTTGCCATTGGGTAGCACGAAGAATATTTTAGTTTTCGGACTTCCAATAACTGCTATAGAATATTTGGACGACAGGCAACAGATTTACAATTTTTGAGGGCGCTCGCGCGCTCAAGCGGAGTAGGGGCGCTGAAAGAACCTCCCCCCCCCCCCCCCCCCCCCCCTATATGAGTGGCGGGCAGTCGCCAGTGGGGCGCCGCCAGGTAATAAACACTGTTGTTGTTGAACTGGATTCCGGGTGTCGTACCTCCCTACGGGCAGCAGCAAGGCCAAACCGCTGCAAATTGAAACGTGCCAACTAAGGCGAACATTTCCAAAATTATGCCTTCTCGCTTGCTGCTGCCGGTAGAGATGTAATGTAATAAAATTTGGGATCCTATGAACCTCTTCGGACGTCCTTCAAGCTCGGCCGCTATCGGTCTGCCTCATCTCGTGGCAAACGTCGCGCTAATTGGTGTAAAACAAGATACACTTAGGTTTTCTTGCTAAAGTCAGCGCAGGAATTAAAGTGCTGCATAACTACACACAATTAATGCTGTCCCGATATTTATAGGCGTAAGCGCTTCCCTCTAACCTTAGCCGAGAATTTCACACCAATTCCGACGTTTCCTCTCAATTTAGCTATTGAAGCGCGACGGACGGAGGCACATGATTTCACGGTTTGGTAGCCCTAGAAATTATTTCCATTTCAAAGTAAGCTGATTGTAGGTATATGCAGTGTTGGGTAAAGTACATTAAAAGTACTTGAAGTAAAATACAAAGAAAATTAGAGGTTATGTACTTCAAGGAAAGTAGTACGCACACCGGGTGCAACATACTTGAAGTACTATACTACATACTATACATACGATATACTTTCAAAGTAAAGTAAAAGTACTTTTAACACAATCTTTTATGGTGCCCTTTCATTCCCATATACAGTGTCTTTTTAACTGGTATGCATTGCCCCAGAGGTATTCGGGGATGCATCAGTTCTTTTCGGAAATGACGGCTGATATTGAACACATGAATTTAGAGTTAAAAAAGCATTATTTTGTGATACAAATTTAACAAAACCAAATTTGAGGAATGTACTTTGAAGCTGGGAGTTGAACGTTCCTCGGAAAGTATTAGAAGATAATGTTTTAATTAAAGTACAAGAACGTACTCAGAGAATGTACATCAAGCAAAGTGCACATATTCTAAACACCCTTGAAGTAGTACTTTAAGTACTACTTGGGAAATACTTAAAGTATTTCCCAACACTGGGTATATTGATTGTTCAGTATGACTTTTCACAGTCATACTCTGAGGTCCACCGTGGTAAACAACGTTATTCCGAAGGAATCATTTCTTCATTTCCAGTTCCTTCGTTTTACTTACTCTTAGTCGTTGGTGAAACACCCTCTATAGTTTCTATTAGGTGTATGACTACTATACGGAATGATATATACGTGGTTGAAAGCTTTGTGATATTAAGACGTTGTTTCTTGCCTGAATGGAGAGGTTCTCGGAAGGCAAGACTTGAGAAGCGAGGGCCTTCTTCTGTTCTGGGATAGTCGGGAGTTTTGCCTCTTGCGTTTGTTCTTCCGTCTGTGCTTCATGAATAAGAAGAGACTCTTTTCTTGAATCAACAGACTCCTTTATGGTCGTCTTTTCCTTCGGCGTCTCCTCGACAAACTCTGGTGCTATTTCTAGTGCACCTGCAAGGGACTTTGCTTCTCCTATACTTAGAGACTTCGGCTTAAGCGATTCACCCGCCTCGGGCATAAACTCTGAAACTTGTTCTTGAACTTCAGGTACATTTTGTGTCAGTTCAGTAAACTGAACCCTTAATTTCATCGCTTCTGGCTTAGATATTTCGAATTCGCTGGTAATTTCTTGGCTAGTTGTTACTTTTCTTATAAACTCGACATCTGATACAGACACCTGCGATGCTTCAGGTTGAGGTGTGATGAACTCCGAAGTTAATTCTTGAACGTCTGGCACCCCTCTTGGAGCTTCAGTAATACTCGTTTGAGCTTTTGTTTCGACAGGAGCGCCAGTTTCGAAACTAAGCACTTGTTCCTCAGAAAATGGGATGCTTCTAGTGGTTTCGGTGATTCTACCAGTAATCCTTGTTTTCTGAAAGGTATCTGGTGAGAAATGTGTAGAAAGCTCCTCCGCTGTCATAGATATTTCGCGAGTCTCTTCGACATGAGTTACGGTGCCTTTTCTCTCTTCTGAAGGTTTCAAGGGAAGCTCCTGACTAGTCAATCCTGGCACCACTTCTAAGACTTCAAGTTGCTGTTGGGGTGTGAGCTGAACGTCTCCCCTCGCTATCTGGTGTGGGGTCGAAAGGAACTCTGGCGCCATTTCTTCGCTTTTAGCTTCCCCTTGCGCTATGGGTTGATCTCTCAAAAATCCTAACGTTGTCTCGCGCACATGAGTTTGCAGTTGTTCTAATTCCACGGGCTGGTATTCAGCTGATGCTTCTATAATCTCCAGAGATTGCTGAGGTTCAAAGATTGTTTTGGCATGTTCGTCTTTGAGTTGTTTTTGCGGAAGATGTTCGGGGGCATACTGTTCGCTAGTCACTTCTTCGACAACCAGTGGTTTGTCCTCCATAATTAATTGTCGAGAAGCTGCGCTTGTAACATGCTCAACGGCCAATACATCCTTTGGCATTTCAGCAGGAACAGCTTCTTCAACTGTGATAGCTTGACTTTCTGAGACTGTTGTCACTGGTATTTCTAAATTGGGCATTTTTTCCACTTCTAGCTCGTCCGTGCTGAGTTTAGTCTCCACTTCTTGAATAACCACTGAGTGACGTGGAACGACGTTTATCTTCGCTTGTGTGGATTGGGCAATTTCTTCTGGAATAAATTCTTCTAAAACAAGCGCTTCCGTAACCTCAGAATACTCAGGCTTGTGCTCATGTCGCTCTGTTTTTGTCCTTGTAATTACAACTTCCTTGGTTAGCTCTACAACACTCTCCTCTTCCTTTCGTTTTGTTTTCTTTTTAGGCGTTTTTAGTTTCAGCGGTCGTTGGAGCTCCATTTCAGTTTCTTCAACTATGTCTGTCTTGTATTCGACTTCCGTTATTTCGTGAGGTATTTCCCTAGCATCTATGACAATATCATGAATATCTCTAGTAGTTATGTCAGTTATTTGAGGCATTTCTGTTGACTCTAGAGTAATTTCGCGAGGTATTTCTTCCTTAAGGGTGGTTTGCTCTTCAACAATGATTTCTGTTGTTTCTTCCGGTTTCTTCTTTAGCCGAACAAGAGATTCCATTTCCACCGTTTGCTCGGTAACCTCTTCAATAAGAGGAGCCTCTTCTTCCACTTTTGTCTTCTTTTTTGGTTTCTTAGCTTTAGGTGCCTGCATCAACTCCAGGGTTTCTGTCTCTTCATGAGTATCTTCAGTTATGTATTCCACTACCGCCACATCACGTGGCATTTCTTTGCTTTCTAAAATAACTTTCCGAGTTTCAGTCGTGGTGATATCTCCAATATCAGGCACTTCGACAGCTTCGGTTGTTATTTTGCGTGGCTTTTTCTTCTTCTCAATGACAATTTCTTCAATTGATACCTCTTCCTCCTTTTGAAGCTTGTCTTCTTCAGGTATTTCTTCCTTTGGAACACCACGAGATTCCAACTCAACCACTTGCTCAACCGTCTCTTCTTCTTGCGGCACTTCTTCCTTCGGTTTGGTTTTTTTCTTTGGTTTCTTTGGTTTCAAAGCCTCTTTGAGCTCGACAGTTTCTGTCTCTTCTCTGATATCTTGGGTTATGTACTCCACCTCTGTTACTTCAAGTGGAGTTTCTCTTGTTTCAATGATAATGTCTCGAGTTTCCCGAGTAGTGATATCAGTAATATCAGGTGTCTCTGTTGATTCTACAGTTATTTCTCGAGGAGTCTCTTCTTTTGTAAGAAGTGTGATTTCCTCCACTTTAATTCCCTCAAACTCCTGAGGCATTTCTTTTGGTCGACCACGAGACTCAAGCTGCACCGTTTGCTCGGTAACCTCTTCTATAAGAGGAGATTCTTCTTCCACTTTGGTCTTCTTTTTTGGTTTTTTTGCTTTAGGTGCCTGAACCAACTCCAGTATTTCTGTCTCTTCATGAGTATCTTCAGTTATGTATTCCACTACCGCCACATCACGTGGCATTTCTTTGCTTTCTAAGATAACTTCCCGAGTTTCAGTTGTGGTGACATCTCCAATATCAGGTACTTCGACAGCTTCGGTTGTTATCTTGCGTGGCTTCTTTTTCTTCTTCTCAATGGTAATTTCTTCAATCGATACCTCTTCCGTCTTTTGAGGCTTCTCTTCAGGTATTTCTTCCTTTGGAACAGCGCGAGATTCCAAGTCAACCACTTGCTCAACCGCCTCTTCCTCTTGCGGCACTTCTTCCTTCGGTTTGGTTTTTTTCCTTGGTTTCTTTGGTTTCGAAACCTCTTTGAGCTCGACAGTTTCTGTCTCTTCTCTGATGTCTTCTGTTCTGTACTCCACCTCTGTCACCTCAAGTGGAGTTTCTCTTGTTTCCATTATAACGTCTCGAGTTTCCCGAGTGGTGATATCAGCAATATCCGGTGTCTCTGTTGATTCTACGGTGATTTCCCGAGGAATCTCTTCTTTTTTAAGAAGTGTGATTTCCTCCAGTGTAATTTCCTTAAGCTCGTGAGGCATTTCTTTTGGTCGACCACGAGACTCAAGCTCTACCGTTTGCTCGATAACCTCTTCAGCAATAGGAACCTCTTCTTCCACTTTTGTCTTCTTTTTTGGTTTCTTAGCTTTAGGTGCCGGCATCAACTCCAGGGTTTCTGTCTCTTCATGAGTATCTTCAGTTATGTATTCCACTACCGCCACATCACGTGGCATTTCTTTGCTTTCTAAAATAACTTTCCGAGTTTCAGTCGTGGTGATATCTCCAATATCAGGCACTTCGACAGCTTCGGTTGTTATTTTGCGTGGCTTTTTCTTCTTCTCAATGACAATTTCTTCAATTGATACCTCTTCCTCCTTTTGAAGCTTGTCTTCTTCAGGTATTTCTTCCTTTGGAACAGCACGAGATTCCAACTCAACCACTTGCTCAACCACCTCTTCCTCTTGCGGCACTTCTTCCTTCGGTTTGGTTTTTTTCTTTGGTTTCTTTGGTTTCAAAACCTCTTTGAGCTCGACAGTTTCTGTCTCTTCTCTGATATCTTCTGTTGTGTATTCCACCTCTGTTACTTCAAGTGGAGTTTCTCTTGTTTCAATGATAATGTCTCGAGTTTTCCGAGTAGTGATATCTGTAATATCTGGTGTCTCTGTTGATTCTACAATGATCTCTCGAGGAGTCTCTTCTTTTGTAAGAAGTGTGATTTCCTCCACTTTAATTTCCTCAGACTCCTGAGGCATTTCTTTTGGTCGACCACGAGACTCAAGCTGCACCGTTTGCTCGGTAACCTCTTCTATAAGAGGAGATTCTTCTTCCACTTTGGTCTTCTTTTTTGGTTTCTTCGCTTTAGGTGCCTGCATCAACTCCAATGTTTTGGTCTCTTCATGAGTATCTTCAGTTATATATTCGACTACAGTCACATCACGAGGCATTTCTTTACTCTCTAGGATAACTTCCCGAGTTTCAGTCGTGGTGACATCTCCGATATCAGGAACTTCAGTAGCTTCGGTTGTTATCTTGCGTGGCTTCTTTTTCTTTTTCTCAATGACAGTTTCTTCAATTGACATCTTTTCCACCTTTTGAGGCTTCTCTTCTTCAGGTATTTCTTCCTTTGGAACGGCACGAGATTCTAACCCAACCACTTGCTCAACCGCCTCTTCCTCTCGCGGCACTTCTTCCTTCGGTTTGGTTTTTTTCTTTGGTTTCTTTGGTTTCAAAACCTCTTTGAGCTCAACAGTTTCTGTCTCTTCTCTGATATCTTGTGTTATGTACTCCACCTCTGTTACTTCAAGTGGAGTTTCTCTTGTTTCAATTGTAATGTCTCGAGTTTCCCGAGTAGTGATATCAGTGATATCAGGTGTCTCTGTTGATTCTACGGTGATAACTCGAGGAGTCTCTTCTTTTGTAAGAAGTGTGATTTCCTCCACTTTAATTTCCTCAAACTCCTGAGGCATTTCTTTTGGTCGACCACGAGACTCAAGCTGCACCGTTTGCTCGGTAACCTCTTCTATAAGAGGAGATTCTTCTTCCACTTTTGTCTTCTTTTTGGGTTTCTTTGCTTTAGGTGCCTGCATCAACTCCAAGGTCTCCGTCTCTTCATGAGTATCTTCAGTTATATATTCCACTACAGTCACATCACGTGGCATTTCTTTACTCTCTAAGATAACTTCCCGAGTTTCTGTCGTAGTGACATCTCCAATATCAGGCACTTCGACAGCTTCGGTTGTTATTTTGCGTGGCTTTTTCTTCTTCTCAATGACAATTTCTTCAATTGATACCTCTTCCTCCTTTTGAAGCTTGTCTTCTTCAGGTATTTCTTCCTTTGGAACAGCACGAGATTCCAACTCAACCACTTGCTCAACCGCCTCTTCCTCTTGCGGCACTTCTTCCTTCGGTTTGGATTTTCTCTTTGGTTTCTTTGGTTTCAGAACCTCTTTGAGCTCGACAGTTTTTGTCTCCTGTTTGATATCTTCGGTTGTGTACTCCACCTCTGTTACTTCAAGTGGAGTCTCTCTTGTTTCAATGATAATGTCTCGAGTTTTCCGAGTGGTGATATCAGTAATGTCTGGTGTTTCTGTTGCTTCTACTGTGATCTCATGGGGTTCTTTCTTCTTTTTAAGAATCTCAAATTTAATTGTGGTTTTCTCATACTCCTCTGGCGTCTCCTTATGACGGGACCTTGATTCGAGTTCTACAGACTGGTCACTCACTTCTTCTGCAAGAGGAGTCTCATCTTCAACTGGCTTTTCCTTCTTTTTAGGTTTCTTTGGCTTCGGTATAGGTTTCAGATCCACAGTTTGTGTTTCTTCACAAAGTTCTTCAGTCTCATACTGAAGTTCAACTATATCTTTCGGTGTTTCTCGAGCCTCTGTTGTTATCTCTGCTGTCTTAAGAGTTGTCACATCGACGATATCAGGAACTTCTGTTGCCTGAACGTCAACCTTGCGAGGTTTTTCTTTTTCTTTTTGAATTGTGACTTCTTCTATAGTAACAACTTCCGTGGGTTTCTCATCATCTCGAGGCTCCTCTTCGACTGGTTCTTTTGGGCGCACCAGAGATTCCAGATATTTGACCTGCTCTGCTACCTCTTCAACAGGAGATTCTTTTTCAGTCGTCGTTTTCCTGGGCTTCTTTGGCCTTGGTATCCGTTTGAGCTCCAGTGTTTCGGTTTCTTCACGAAGTTCTTGTGTTTCATATTCCAGCTCCGTAATCTCTTTTTTCCGTTCCCGAGCATCTGTGGTTATTTCTGTTGTCTTCTTAGTTTTCACCTCAACAACATCTGGAACTTCAGTTGATTCGGTGGTAATTTCTCGAGGCTTTTCTTTATCTTTTCGAATAGCCACATCTGCGATGACAACCTCTTTGGGCTTCTCTTTGAGTGGCTTTTTGGGGCGTGCCCGGGATTCTAAATCCACGTCCTGCTCCGTAAATTCTTCGAGAAGTGATTCTTCGCCGGTCAGTTTTATTTTTTTCTTTGGCTTCTTTGGCTTTGGCATCTGTTTGAGCTCCACAGTTCCAGTTTCTTCACGAAGTTCTTCTGTCTCATATTCCAGCTCCGTAATCTCCTTTGGCCTTTCCCGAGTATCTGTGGTTATCTCAGTTGTCTTCCGAGTTTTCACATCAACAATGTCTGGAATTTCGGCTGCTTCGGTGGTAATTTCTCGAGGTTCTTCTTTCTGCTTCCAAATAGTGACATCGTCGATGGTAACCTTTTTAGGCTTCTCTTCGAGTGGCTCTTTGGGGCGCGCCCTGGATTCCAGATCCACAACCGATTCTGTGATCTCCTCGGAAGGAGATTCTTCTTCAGTAGGCTTTGCCTTTTTCTTAGGTCTCTTGGGCTTCGGCAACCTTTTGAGTTCAAGGGTTTCAGTTTCCTCGCGAATATCTTCTGTTTTATATTCAGTTTCTGTTTTGTCTTTCACTGTGTCTAGAATCTCTCTTTCTTTAATTTCATGACTCTCGGCTAGCCTCTCTACTACTTTTGGTTTCATGAGTTCTAACGTAACTGTTTGTTCCCGAGGGATATCTTCCTGTGGCAGTAATTTTGTTTCCGCAGACCGAACAGTTATTTTCCGAAGCTCAGTAACTTCAACAGTTTCAATTATTTTCTTTGTCTGGAACTTGGTTGTAGGCTTTAAGGTTTTTGTTAAAAATTCGGGAATTTGAGGCTCCTCCACTGTAGGAGCCTTGGAAATTTTTGTTTTTGCAGGCACCTCTTCAACCGATATACCCTCTTTGGGCATGAAAGGCTTCCGTTTTTCTTCGGTTTCAGGTTGCTTTCTAAGATCGTCGTGTAATACTTGGGGTATCTTTTCTGCAACGTATTCAGGTTGTTCTTCGTCTGGCGTAGTCTCCTCTTTCACTTCTTGAACAGGTCTCTGGTAGCGAGGTGTGGGTTTCAAAAGTTTCGTAATAAATTCTGGAGGTTCCTCCTCTGCTGGCTTAGATTCGATAGGCACGAAAGGCTGAAAGGTTTTTTGGAATGTTGGCTTCTCGGAAACATCCTCTGGTTTTTCTTGAGGTTTTATTCTTGTATCATCTTCAACTACCTCGTCAGCTTTTTCCTCTTCAAGGGACCTTGAAACTCGAGGAATGGGCTTCAATACTTTTCTAACAAACTCAGGAATTTCCTCCTCTGGAGGCATAGCTTGAGTGACACTGTCTTCTTTTGTTGGCGGCTTTATTGTTTCTTGCGGTTTATCTCTTTTCGGAATATATTGTGGTATTTCTTCACGTTTTGTTGGTTCATAATATTCAGGAACACGTTGGGGTATGTCCTCTCTAATATCTTCTTCTACCTTGTCTTTTTGAACAGGCCTCTGAGGACGTGGTATTGGTTTCAAAACCTTTTTAACGAATTCCGGAAGCTCTTCTTCTGAGGGCACATCCCGAATCGTACTATCGCCTACTTTTACAAAAGGCTCCTTTATTTCCTGGGGAATTGGTTTTCTGTATACATCTTTGGTTATTTCTTCTGGTCTCTTGCTGGTGTCATAGTCTGGTACTTCTTCCTGCGGAATTCCAGGTTCTTCTTTGGTTTTTTCTTCTTGAATGCGAGGGCGGGGTGTCGGTTTTAACACTTTCCTCACAAACTCTGGAACCCCCTCTTCTGCAGGGAAATGCTCAGTGTCCTTTTCAGGCTCTTGCTTTTTAGGTATTTTTAGAGTTAATTCATCTTCGGTTTTCTCCTCTTGGACAGGCCTTGCATAGCGAGGTACGGGCTTTAGAACCTTGCCGATGAATTCTGGAAGTTGCTCTTCTTCAGGCATATCCTCTTTTGGACGTTTTTGCTTTTCTATGACACTGAAAGGTTTCTCCTTCTTCTTAACACTGATTTCTGTTACCTCTTGTTCCGTCACTTCATGCACTGTGTACTCTTTTTGTAAGTGGACTTCTTCTTGCTTTGTTAGAAACTGCGTGGCCTCCAGGTGAGTGAGGTCTTCCTCAAATTGCGCAGGTCCAATGGGTTCCACCACTACAAAGTCGTCTTCAGTTCCGCTCATTTTATCTGGTGTCTTGACTCGGTATTTATCAGGCCGAGATGGTAGCAGGAAAACAGTGTCCTCAGTCGATGTTCCTTCTGTGGGTTCAGTAGGAAACGGCTGCTTTGGTGCTTTTGCTTCCAAAGGTTCTGAAAGAAAACATTAATTCACATGATAATTCACAAGAATGTGCCCATCGGTTTTTAGAACGAAAGAAAACAAATCTTAATAAGATATGCGAAATATTTATTTGTGACATTGTGCTATCACTTGCAGCTTTTGATTAGTTGCATCACAATTCTCACCTCCGATCGTGATAAGACATTCAGTTGTTCTTTCTCCAGCCTCATTGGTAGCCTTGCAGATGTACAATCCTTTTGTGCTTTCATTGACCTCCAGAATATGAAGCATTGTCTTGTCGTTCAGAATAGTAACATTGTATGTACGGCCTCCTGTAATAATTATAAAAGTTTTGTCACACATTGGTCTGTGATACTGTAACTTTTATGAGAAAGGTCTTAATGTAATTATTATCATGTAACCCTTTAACAAAATTCAAGTGCTAGTAATTCTTCACGAGAACAATGCCACAACTATAAATACGCCATGGTAATTTGATGACTACAAACCTAATTGCTATAATCTTTATTGAAACATAAACCCATATTATGAAAAAAAAACTTCATGGCCATTTTATCATGAAAGTATAAAACTGAATGAACCTTTTTATTGATATCTGCTCAAAGCAGTCGAACGACTATGACTTCAGCAATAATTATTCCGATGACTTTATTGACTATCTTCACTTCCCAATCCAAAAGACATATTAAGATTTATAAGGGACCCGCTAATAACACCAAGTTCTCTTAAGTGCGCTTTAATTTACTACTAGTGACGTATATTATTTTGTCTTTATCAGGGTTAGGTATCATGTTTCAAAGATTACGAACACTCACCGGAGTCTTCAGGGCGTATGAGGATGTCCTCGTGGTACCACTTCACCTCGGGCTGCGGTCGCCCTCTCGCCACACACTCAAGAGTCACTGGCATGCCTAGGCGCTGCCGCACTTCCCCGACAAGTGGTAGCTCAAACCGCGGCTTCATTGGCACAAACTCTGCAACCCAAGGAATAAAGCGTTATATCTATAAAATGTGGATTGAAGAAACACGACTTACCAAGACTGAGCTTGTTGTCCCTTTTCGGTGTCTTTCGCATAGGGAGCATAGATTTCATATCTGCACAACAAAGAAAGAAAGAAAAAAAAAGTCATGGGTGCGGGTGCAGCGTGCGACGCAGGTGGCATGAACACGCAACCTCGAGTTTGTCACACTTTTCACGCGGAGCTGACATCTTGCCACAAATATCGGTGTAGTGGAACGCGCTCATATGGAGCGCATCCACTACACAAGAACCCGGATACCGCGTTCTCGCTAACTGCGTCATGTAGTTTGCTTGCAGTGCAATTGATGAGTTGCAAAAGCGAGTTAATAGCATTATAATTCGTGTACCTACCTATCTGAACCAGTTCAGCTTCAGTGACCTCCACACCATACTTATTTTTGGCCTCGCACAAGAAGTCCCCAAAGTCTTCGGGTGTAGTCCTGTGGAAAAACACATAGGGAGATTTTTAAATAAAATTTCCGGCAGTATTTCCATCATACCTGAAAAACTCATCTACTAAAATGCTTTCTTGAGTCAGTAAGTATCAATGCACTCGTTTATGTACCGGGACTCGTACCGCCGCTTCTGACAAGATCGCCATTGGTTGTCGCTGTGGCCACATGATCCCTTACGCCAGTCAATGGGAGTGGTCCACCTCCCGCGAAGGAGCCCTGTTGCGGCGGTGGCACTATTGCAATGGCCACTAAATTTCGAGATGTATCAATACAGTCTATTCTGCTAAACGTGGCGGGCGAGACATAGCCGGCTAAATTTAGCGGATGATGTTAACGTGACCACCTTAGGTGATGACATTACAATGTCAGTGACAAAAGCTGTAAAAAGGCACCACATCAGCCCCTGAGTACTTACTGTTTTTTTCAGCGTGACAATGCGGTCCCCGATTCATAAGATACAATAAAAAAATTGCGGTGGCTTAGCTCGGCTATGCCAGGATATACGTAGCGCGAGCTTATGGACACAAAATGAGAGGCGCTATCAAGCGGCTCTGATGCAGCGTCAGACTTGGCTACAGCGCAACGGAGGCGCTGGGCACGCGCTGGGCACAGCTGGGCACAGCTGGGCACGCGGCAGCGCCAGTGCGTCTGCCGCGGCTATGACGTCACTCCTCCGGAATGTGCAGACCGGCTAGGCGGGCGCGGCGGCGGCGGAGCGCGCGGTGGCGGCGGCTCCGGCGCGCTAGCTGTGCGCCATGTGACGTCACTGCTCCTCGCGCATGCGCAGCACGGAGCACGGCTCATTATGCGAGCCACGCGAAACTGCTCAACCTCGGCCAGTGTAGCTCACGCGACAAAATACGTTCTAACTATTAAGCTATAATTTAGAACCACCCTTGACGACAAACGTCACAACAGGACGGTGCAGTGTCCATCGTCAGTATCAAATGATTAATGATTAAATGGAAGGGATGACATTCCGATGTTCGAGCACCAGGACGTCGCGTTGAAGCGTCCGTGGGGCACTGAACGAGCAGCAGCGCTGTGAAAGTGAGGTAGAGTTCTATGAAGAACAAATAAACCTGGGGTCATTCCGTTAGCACGAAAGCGAGCGCAGCTCTCAGTGGGAGGGGGGGGGGGGGGGGGGGGGAAACAGATAGGATTTTAATGGAGAAGTGCATTCTTAGGAGCTAACTCAGATTTCGAGAGCGTCGCTCGCGCTCGTCGCGTAGCAGAGCTCTGGATGAGCATCGTACCGGCGTGCGGTCGTGTATCACTACTGCGTGGTGCACGTTAAAGACCGCAGGCTAGCGGTTGTACTGCGCTGGCTAAATTGCTCATCTACAGCGAGTGACTCGTCGCAACTTTAAATGGCTGACCAACTACACGCTGTATAAATATCCACATAACCCAATTTGCTTTGCGTAGCAGAGTTGAACCTACTTGAGTTGACCAGATGCCAAAAGCTCTGGGGGACCACAGCATGAAATAAATTATAGTAGCTTGATCATGCTGAGAAAAACCAGGGAGCACAAAATGTGTCCCGCACAAACCACACTCCGTGAGTGGTTCGAGATGAACTTCGTTTCAGCTTAAAGTGGCTAGGACACACCAAAAATAAAACATGAGAAGGGTTCCGTGTTTTCGTAGTTTCTTCGTTAAATTCGGGCGGTGTTTTGGGGGGTTTATTTTCTTTTCTTTCCAATTATCCGAAATTCAAAGTTTAATTTCGCAGTGTTTCCTATTAAAATAAATAAATAAATAAATAAATAATATACCGGTGTAACCCTTACAAAAAATTTATATCTGGCCAGATCTGAAGATTTCAGATATGGCCATATCAAAAATTGGCCACATATAACCTGATATGGTATATCTGCCAGATATAGCCTGATAACCCTGGTCAGGTATGGAAATCCCAGATCTGGCTAAGTAAGGAAATTCCAGATCTGGCCAGGCATTTCAAAAGAACACAAGCCTGAAATCAGCACTTCATAACTTTTTATTGTCTACAATTCTCCCAAGTGCCCCCGCCCGCACTCGAGAAGTTATGGAAACGGTGATCCTTCCTTAGTGATCGCTAGTTTTGACCAATTCCATGGTCACACAGTTTCGAGTGTAATTCATAGTCACCCTGAACATGCGTCCCATAGGGCTCAAGTACCTTTCATATCACTTTTAAATTTCCTCGCCAATGGCAGCGTATATGATACTGTGTATTCTGTCCAACCTTCAAAGAGGCTGAGCCGCCGAAATCTCTTACCATATTATCATTCTCGTGATTGTTGTTTTAGCTGGAATTACTTAAAAGCCGAGACATTGCAACAACCAAAACCGGGATTTAGCTCGGATTCAGCGGAGCTGTTTATGACATTTTTAGCGTTTCTAACTTAATATCAGCGTCTTTGAAGTTGTACGAGAATGATAATAATATAAGAGATATGTCTGCAGCTCATCCAGGTTGAAGGTTGGACAGAATGCACAGTACTGACATTGGCGGTACTTGGGTTCTGTACCGCACGTGTTCAGGGTGACTCCGAATTACACTCAAATCTGTGTAACCATAGAATTGCTCGAAATTTTCGATCACTAGGCAGCTGAAGAAACGCCGTCCCCATGATTCCTTGAGTACGGGTCGAAGCGCTTGGGGGATTTAGCAAATCGTCTATTCGGGCGTAATGTTAACACTTTGAAATAATTAAGCTACATTGAAATCCTCGTGAAAACTAGCACAAATAATCTCAAACTTAAGCTTGTCAAAGCTGAAGTTTGGGATTATTTGTGTTAATATTTAGCTCGCGAATAATGAGTCATTCAGAGTTTGCTAACAAAAAAATTATTTTTTTACTTTTTTTCACTTTTTGTTATATTGAAAACCGGCTGGCCAGATAAGTCTGTATATAGACCGTTTTATCGTGGGTAGCGCCATTTTGAGAGCGAGAGAGAAAAGGGGAAAGGGCTACCGGCGCTTTCCCCCTTTCTGATTGTGTAGAAAGAGTAAAAGTCCCGGATGAGAGGCTTGGCCGGTGTTGGGTGTCTGCTGTGCCCCAACTTCTTTCGCGCTTTCTTTTCTGTTTTGAACCCGCAAACTTCATTAGAGCCACGGGCTTTGATGGCAACAGTCCCCCGGTCATCGGGACACCATTGCTCGGTCATAGGGTGCACGAATATCGACAGAAAGCGTCGAATACCGCCCAAGGACCTCGTAGCTTGCATGGAATTCGGCAAGGCACGTGCGGCTGCAATGTTTTGAAGCTCCACCGCTTTCCGCGTGACTGGAAATGATGAACCATTCATAAATTTTTGCTTGCAATAGGCCCATTTCAACGCAGCCGTTTTCAGTAATGAACAAGCGATACACGAAACGGGAACCTTAATTAGCTTTTGTAAACACCCGGAGCAGCTACATATCGTTTTGCTGCGCTGCTTTTATCTTGCGTGTCCGTGTCCTCATATTTCATTGTGGATGAACGACGAAGACGTTCTAGATGTGCTTATATCGAACCGCAGAAAGCGTCAAAGTAGCCACGAATTATTTTACTATTTGATGCAATATTTTGAGTACTAACCTCCAATTTCTATCACTTACACGTTCGCTGCCGCTGTTCCCCCCGTTGCTGCACTGGCGAATCCCATGACTCGAACAAAGAAACGTACATGGGCTCGAAGACGCAGATCGCAACACACGAGTCGTACCCTGGAGCGACTATCCAGCGCTTCAAAGCGCCCAATCAACGGAAACAACCCAAACAACCCACCAGCGGCACTCCAAGGAGCGCTTTTGCCGACTCTCTGGTATCGCACAGGGGATCGCTATTCAGGAAAACCGATAGAACTACCTTTTCAACAATTTCTAGCCTCACCCGGCGGCGGAAATAAGCCTTCACGTAAGTGTTGTAAATGATGAAATCGAGTCAGTCACCACTGCAAATTATCAATATTAAGGTAAATTCAGTTACAAAATTTTACAAGCTGAAACAGCAATTACCACGAGAAAACTGGCACGCATCTTGCGAGCGTACCCCATGTTTATCGGCGGTACAGCGTTCGGTGCGCGCTTCATTCACAAGCTGTTCCGAGCACAGTCGAGAAGAGGGTGTTGAGGAAATGTCTTTTCGGTTTACGAACGCAATCCACTGCCGCCAAGATCGGGGTCATGTGGAAAGCGATGGAGCTTAAAGACATTGCAGCCGCTCTCGTCTTGCCGGATTCATTGCAAGCTACATAGGTCCTCGGACAGTATTCGACGCTTTCTGTCGTTATTCGTGCACCCTATGACCGAGCAATGGTGTCCTGATGACCGGGGAACTGTTGCCATCGAAGCCCGTTACTCTAATTAAGTTTGCGAGTTCAAAACAGAAAAGAAAGCGCGAACGAAGTTGGGGCACAGCAGACACCCAACACCGGCCAAGCCTCTCATCCGGGACTTTCACTCTTTCTACACAATCAGAAAGGGGGAAATAGCCGGTAGCCCTTTCCCCTTTTCTCTCTCGCCCTCTTTCAGTAAAACGGTCTATACGCAAGATGAGTCTGTATATACGGCATATCAGGCCGTATATACGCCAGATAAGTCTGTATATACGCCAGATATGTCTGTATATACACCATATCAGGCTGTATATACGCCAGATAACTCTGTATATACGCCAGATAAGGTTGTATATAGGCCGTATATAATCATATAATGTTTGATATGGCCAGATATGGCCCAGATATAAAATTTCCATACGGGAAACGTGTACTTGACAACAAATAAAACGTGCTTCTACAAATTAATTTTTTTTCCGCTGGATTTGGCGTTGGTGCCATTACCATTGGCAATACTAACTTGTCCCACGACAAAAGTTACACACAAGTCTTGCTTCGATAAAAGTCCGTACCTCAAAATCAGTACACTCCTGGAGGTAGTCGCTGGGATGCTATAGTATTTATCCCATCCTATTCCATCAACCTGCTCCGCGGCCTCTCGAGGTGGAGTGGTTAAG